ACCAAAGAAAAAGGTGAAGAATAGTGTTGATTTCACAGTTGAAAAAAGGAAGAGTGACAGACTAAGGACCTAGAAAGCAAGAGACATAGATGGGTCTGGTAAGGAACCGAATGATCCATTAGTGATGACTGAAGAGAAAATCACAGTAGATGTCCTTGGTGATGCTAAGATATTAAAAGGTTAGGAAGACATTTGCAAAGGCCTCAAACAATGAAAATTATGCCGATAATATGAAGATATTTATATGTACTATCATATGTTAATGTTTTCAAGATATTTGAGTGGTGTTATATACTCTATGTGTCATATTCTACTTTGTAATATACTTCAATGGAATGTATCAACTACCATTATTTGTAATGTAATGACTAGATCTACTACCTCCATATGTCATGTTTTTGTAACGGACTTTATATGTAATGTCAAACCTTTGTGATGAATGCCATACTTTGTCAATTTGGTGAGGTTGGTTTATCATACAATTGGGTAAAAGTTTCCAATTTAGTCCAAACTAAGGAAAATTATGGCCAAACTATGTTGTTAAATTAAGGTATGTTACATTATGGCCAAACTAAGGCAAATTATGGGCAAACTTATTTATCATACTTCCAATTATGTTATTAAATCATGGCCATTTAAACAACATTTTAACATTTCATAAACAAATGTAACAACATTTTAACAACATGAAATTTCAACATTCCAACAACAATACACGAACAACATTTTAACAACATGAAATTTCAACATTCCAACAACAATACATGAACAACATTCCAACAACTTTACATTGATTACAACAACAGTGGTACAAACATTTCAATAGAATCATCAACATTTACACTTCACTAACAAGAACATGTTCAGCATAAATAAGTGTATGTTAAGAAATGTGGTTGAGCCTATCTCAACCCTCACGCTCAGGACTGGACAACTGAAGCGTGGAAATAAATGGTGGTGGCCCGATAGCGGAAGCCATAGAAGGTGGCCCACCGGATCTTAAACGAGGCTCTTGATACCATGTTAAGAAATGTGGTTGAGCCTAACTCAACCCTACAAAACCGGTTGGTAGAGTGAGGATTGCTCCCACTTATAAACACATGTTCATGCCATATATTGTCCGATGTGGGACTCTTAACAGAGTACAAGACTGATTGACTTCAAATTTCCAGAAAAATCTCATACTTCATCTACTAGTTATATAAGGTTCTCTTGGTGTGTAACCTTAATTTCACAAATCAGCCCTCACTCACTCTTTCTTACAGCCACACCTCACTCTCCTTGTATCCCTTCAGGCTTCAATTTTTTACTTATTCATGGATGCTTAAAGAAAATCCAAAGGGAAAGAAAGAGAAACAAGCTCTAGAAGTACTCTTGATCTCTCAAGACTTTTCACTTTTCCAAAACAGTAAGAAAGGTATGAAGAACACTTCTTCAATAAGAAATTAATGAAATCCAAGTATGGAGAACTCTTTAGTTTTCCCTCTGAATGTTTTTTTTCAAACTGTATTCTCAAGACTTTTCACTTTTCCAAACTGTAAGAAATATTTTTCAGAATCAACAATACATACAAATATTTGCCATCATGAAAAAGGAGGAGAATGTAAATTCAAGACCTCAATTAATATATTTTGATAAAGACAAATATGGTGAAAATAAGAGAAAAGACTTATGTTTGTGGTTAAGCTTTAGACTAAGTAAATAAATCTTCTACAAACTCATGATCTTATCCAAATGTATAAAACAATTCAGTACACATACATATTTTAGAATGCTCAAAGTTTTTTTTTTTTTTATCAAAGTTCATCCATTTAATCTTTGATTTTAAATTCCTTCATCTTAAAGTCTTTTAGTATTTCAAATTTACTATGCATACTTTCAATGAATGATAAAAGTGTTCTAGTGTTAAAAGGTCTGCTCTAAAATTCTTAAGGGTTTTGGGTTTGATTCTTGACCTTGTCACTTTGTCAACTTTTAGTATGTTCTCTTTTTTTCTAAACCATCAATCGATTATAGTTGATACCAATCGATTGTCACTTTGTCAACTTTGATTTTTTTTTTCTCAAAAAATTGATTACACCAGTTATATAGCATTTTTCAAATTTTCTAAAATTTAAACACTTCTCTTCATGGCATTTTTTCCTAGCATCTATTTCTAAGCCATTGCCATTACTGTTCTGATTACTTTTAAAACCTTCCCATGATTAACCAAGGGTTGCATGTGTCTTATAAATAGGAATTATTTTTTAGATTTTAATTCACCTCTTTTTTTGATAAAATTTTCAAAGTGTTCAAACTTTTGTTAAAACAAAAATTTGTTTTGCTGCATAAACTTTCACATTATATAGAAGTTTTCTTTGAGCACTTTAAATATTGTGTGAATTTTATTGTTACATGAAAAGGGAAGAACAACCCGTTTGTTGAGACCAATATCCAACTATTCTTAACATTCAAAACTAAAGTTTGTTGTTATTACAATCTTGTTTTAGTACGTTGTTTTTCAGAATTGTTGAAAATAATAGAGTGAAAAAGAGAGAATTGTTTTCTTTTTCTACTTTGTGAAATCATAAGGAATTGTGCCTTATTGATTTGGTTAATAACTTGTGTATAGAGGTTAGGATTAGGCTTGTACAAGATTCTAACATATAGTGAAATCTCTTACACGTGGTAAGGGGACTAGATATACTCTCGAATTGTGAGAGGAACTAGTATAATCCCTCGGTGTTCTTTACTTTTCTGCATTTTACAGCTTTCATAAACACCATCAAACCAGAAAGTTAAAGAAATATTTCACTAAAACTGAAAATCGATCAAAGTACTAATTCACCCCTTCCCCTCTTAGTTACACTCTATACTTATAATTGAGTTAGTCGTTATTAGACATTGGTCCTCCCTTTGGCTAGAGACGGACTCCATGAATGTGGTCACAGCATTTTCAAATTAATTTTTCAATCGTTCATTGAACTTTGTGGAATAGGTGGGATAATTGTGTTCATGTTACTTCATCTATGAATTTTATGGGGTTGCATATCTTAAGAGAGAAAAATAAATATGAGTTGTTTCCAACGGCTTGCACTGGTCGGATAACATTTTTCTGCTTTGTTGGATGATTTATTGACTAATAACTTTGATTTTGTATCTTTCCATTCTAGGTTTTTCTAAGGGGTTGCATATCTCTCCACAATATAAAATTAAATAAAAACTATCCACCATAATTGATTTCTTTACAATAAATAAACTGCTGCTCAGAACCACGGTTACTAACCAAATTTTTAGAATATACATCTTTCTTTTTGGTAAAATGTTCAACATGCTTCTATTGCATATTCTTCACTAATTGATGACATTGGAAGGTAAATTTTCTATGCTATGGTTCAGTATTAACAATAGTTAGTTTTCTATGATTATAAACTATTAAAAGAAAGAAATAATTTCGTTTTATAGCATCTATTATCTATGAAGACCGATTTTTGAAAGGAAGAATTGATGAACATGTAAAGTTTTTTATTCCTACTCTTCTTAGTCTTCCAACAATTGGGTGTTTAGATCATATTTTACGATAGATTTGATCTTTCAGTAAATAAAATCTTTATATTATAATTAAATATTTTAAGTTGTTAATGGTTTTTTTTCTTTGCAATTTTTGTATTTATTTTAGATGGCCATATAAACATGCAGTTACTTGCTGCAATGTGGTCATAAATATGTAACTACACTTGATATCATCCAAAAAAATAACTACCAAGTAAATGTTGCATATTTAAAATTAGTGCATTAAAAATATCGAACATATCTATAATCTATAACAATATAATTGTTACATCTATAATCTATAACAATATGATTGTTACATCTATAATATACTCTATTTTCCTGCGGTTTTACATGCAGATTTTGACAAATTTTCTGCAGGAAACGTGTTACCTGCAATTTTCCCTATTATTTTCTGTTCCAGCTAAAACCTTCGTGGGTAATTAATATAGCAGGTGAAGTCGCAGGAAAATGTCATAAGAAAATGTCGCAGGTGAAGTCGCAGGAAAATGTCATAAGAAAATGTCGCAGGAAAAGGTCGCAGGAAAAGGTCGCAGGTAAAGTAGATAAACTCGCAGATAAAGACGCAGGTAAATGAAATTTTCGCAGGAAATGTCGCAGAAAAATAGAAATCCGCAGGTAAACTCACAGGTAATTTCTCTCTCATGTTTTTAATTTTTGATGTTCATTTTGTTTAATTTATATTTAAAATGTTATAATTATTGTTAAATATAATAATATAAAAACAAATATCTAATTTGAATAAGACAATGCAACACTAATCACATTCAAAATTTTCAAACAACCAAACATAACTATAAAGTCAATAACAATACTTCTAGAGTTATATTATTAACAATGTTTTATTTATATAAAACTTTAAACCATAACTTATTTGCAAAATTCAATTAAATAACAATTCTTATATTTCACCCTGTTACAAATTTTATGTGGTCAAAAACAGAGTTTACGCTACCATACAATAAAATTAAGGCTTGCAATTATAGCTACTCTCTTGGAACACACAAAAATGAGTACGTTCTACAAATTTCAAGCTGTATGGTTTATTTGAATTTTAAATGATGTAATGTAGGACACAAAAACTAAGTTCTATTTGATGTATGGTAGCTTCAGCAGAAACGACGGAAGACTCTGCTATTCAGGATGGCCTGATAACATCCCTTGTGCACACGTGTGAGAATTCACGTACCTCATCACCAGCTTCTCACTTATACCTTCAAACGAACAACAAGCACCAAACCAATTGTCAGCCACCTCCCTCCAATTCGCTGACGGCATTTCAACAAAATTCCTAAATAATTATTGTAAACCACATAACAATCATAAGAACTTCAATCTACTTTTTTAAAGCTCAACTTCATACAATGATAACATATCCAAAGAACTCCACTAATCTATAACAATAGAGGTAAACAAAGAATAAAAAAAATACCTGATAGGTTTATTGGTCAAATGGTATCGCAACTTCTACAAACAAATTCGACTTCTCCAGCTGATGACAGTTTGTCTACATCTGAACCAAAAAATGATAATAATAATAATAATAATAATAATAATAATAATAATAATAATAATAATAATAATAATAATAATAATAATAATAATAATAATAATAATAATAAGCAAAAGCAAGCAACGAGAATCGAAAGCGGAATATTGAGGTTATTACCGTATTCAATTAGGAGAGGGTAGGTAACGGCGAGGTTTGATGAAGTGCGGAGAGGGCAGGGTGATCGACGGGGTGTAAACGAAAGAAAAATATACCAGTTCTGATATGTTCCAACCAATCCTCGTTCAAAAACGACGTCGAGGGTGTTGATCTCGGCCTTGACGGGAACAACATTCATGACCCAAACTGGATTATCAATCATTGCAGCTGCAAAGCCTCCAAAGTAAGCATTCATATCAAGTAGATTACGGAACCTCCCGGGCTCTGCTAGCTGATAATCTAGTGTCTTGTAGTATGCAACTCTCGCCTTCCAGACCTCAAAGTTCCTCTTAGTAGATTAAAAAAAATCTTCAGTTGTTGTCTTCACGGCCATAATCATAAATTATCTCAATCTGCACCAACCTAATAACAAATCCAGTCAGAAAGAGCACATCCCAGGGCAACATATATTGGAATAAATAATGTTATAAGAAACAGAAGAAAACCAACTAGGAGCATGATAAAAGTCGGCATACAACAAGGGAAAACATGATAAAAACCGGCATACAACAAGGGCAAACATGATAAAAACCGGCATACAACAAGGGCAAACATGATAAAAATCGGCATGCAACAAAGACACCAACATAAAGGTAAAACAACAGCAAAATGTTAGAATAGACGATCACAACAACCCTACAGTAATCACTGATTAGTGATCACTACTACCAACCACTGACAGAAATGTTGTTTTTATATTGTGGAAGCACTACTGCCAGAGATTGGTGGTATGTGTTATTCCCAGCAAAAGCCTGCTGAAATGCCGATGGCATGTATGTATAGCTCTGGGGCATGAATGGATAGCTAATCATATTAGCAAAATGCCCTAAAGGAAGAGTAGGCTGCGGGTAGGGATGCACAACAAGGTGCTGAGGAAGTGAAGGTCCAATGGCAATACCAGCACCAGGCAAAGCTTGTTGATTTGGTTGAGCTTGAGGCGTAGAAATGTTGTTTGCCCTTAAAGCCTGCATCTTGAAAAAAAAACACTATCAAAAGATTGAATGCCTACACTCTCCCTCTCTCTAAACCAATAAAATCAAGACACCAACATAAAACTAAACTGCAAGTTGTAATCATCTTTCCTATACAATAAGTATATTAATACATATGCGCCAAATGACGAACACTACACATTTAGAGTTAGTTCAGTGTATTCTTAAAATAGGGGCTAAAAAACTGATATAATTCTACATATGCACACACATCAAACGTAATCAATGATAAATGATGTTGGTACAAATGTATGCATAACCTCCTCTAAGAATATTCCTTTGCTTCACTTAGGTATTTTGTATACACATTACAAAAGTGGGTTAAAAGATACTATATTCTCGTCAGAATTATTAACGACACTAATACTCATATGCAGTGTAGTTTTTTCCACTCAGTACTAATGTATCACAAGACAAGCATAAAAGTTGACCTTGTAGAGGACCATCACACGTGGACATTTTATAGCATTTTTTACATAAAAAACAAATTGCTGAACCAGTATTAACATTTTTTTAACTACAAATATGAAATTATATTAGATGTCAATAATTGTACCCGTGCAACATTATACACCCCTTTTTAAAGAGCACACCAAACAGCCAAGCGAAAATTGAAATTAATACATTTGGTCACTATTTTAGAGAGCATTATATGTAAGGAACAATGTAAGACTTGTCCCTCGCAGATTACTAGCATTGTCTAGCATTATCAAGCAACGAAACAAAATAGTACTGCAAAATATATTTGGACTAAATTGAACAAATAATGACCAAATGACATGGTTGATTCTGACACCTAAGCACAAAGCCCAAGTATTAGAGTTTCATATGTACACATGAACTCCAAAATATTATTTTCCTAAAAATAGACAGACACTGTGAGCCATAACATTAAAATTATTTGTAACCCAACATCTTCTGAAAGCTAGTTAATAGATTAACTTAAATAAGCTGGCAATAAGTGTACCTCTGACATGTTCATGTTTGAACCACCAATTGATGAAGCCATGTTACTATATTTTGCAGGCATTGATTGTGTAACAGGGAAGGGTGAATACGAGATATCCTCCCTTGCTGTTTGAACCGTTGAAGCCAACAATGCATTGGGCAAAGAATTTGTATATGCCTGTAAAACAATATAAGTTAGATCTAGATAGTAATTACATCAATATTTTAAAATAAAAGAATTTTACAGTAATATTCATTGTTATTACCACACAACAACACTGATTTGTCTTCACCATAACATAATCTAATGGGACAAAAATACTACATTAGATGAAGATTTCAGAGAGTTCATGGTACATGGGTTTATTTGCTTAGGATACCATAACATAAACTAATTGTGATTAATTGTAAACGCAAAATAAAAGTCTCGAAAATTGTTATTTTTATAATAATCAACTTCTCTCCTACAAGACTTTTTGCAGAAAATAAGCTTCATTTTACTCTCTGAAAAATGAGTAGTATTATAGCATCAACAATAACCTAATCTTTAAAAATCAGGATTTCCAAATTCTAACTAAACCATTTAAAAACAAATTCTAGTTAACTAGAGAGCCAAAATAAAACAAAGCTTTAAAATATAGTATTGCACATCCAAAATATAACAATCCAGTGTATTACCATTACACAGGAGTAAGGAGATAGGTTCTGGATATGTGAGCTTGTTTGCAAATGAGGATATGTAAGATCTGGTTGTTGGGCATTTTCACGGGTAAACTCGTGCGAAGATGAAGGAAATGAATATTGATTTTCCTGAGCAGTTTCAGAGGGTTCCGGTTTTAAAGCCTCTAGTTGTGAAATGGAAGAATGTTCATATGTCCTAGCATCCACACCAGTTATGTGGGCTATATTTCCATCTGAGGTAGTAGTAATATGCTCCTCCCCGTAATAGTCGGGATTTCTGCAAGTATAATTAAAGACGTGTCTAATTAAACAATGAACAACAAGAATATGGAATAAATGTCTTATCATCTAAGCACATACTTGGCATCTGAGGACCCAATAGTTGAAACATCATTAGCTCCAGAAGCCTCATCCAAGTTGCTTTGTAAGGGCCTAGATGCATGTGTTCTAGCACCAGATGCATGTGTTCCAGCATCAGAAACAGCGGTGACATTTTGTTTAGATCCAAAACTACCAAAGCTCAAACTAAAGCACTCTAGAGTATGGAGTTGTAGATGATTTGGAATAAGTACATCAGAATTGTCCTCCTCTGGTTCTGTCCCTTGATCATATGTGTGTATATTTAGCTGCTCTAAGTTTCCAGCCACTGATGAAACACCATTTTCACCTGAAAGAAAGATTTCCAAAAAATTAAGACTCAGAACACATGTATGTAGACACGCGTCTAATATGGCCATGATAGTCAACTGTCAAATAATAGTATTAGTATTACAATTTAAAGTCATGCTTTCTACATTATTAGATGTCATACATGTGTACAAGATTATATTAGCAATGCAAGCCTGTTAAATAATTCACACATACAGAGTTATAAAGCACCGAGCCATTTTTCAGTGTAACCACGGTATACTGGAAAAGAGAAAACCACAATTGTCACCATAGTCAACAGTACAGCACAAGACCGACTCAAAAGATTAAACAGACAAATTCAAAAGGCAATACCATTCCAGAATACATTGAAGATGAAACTCGTGCTTGCAACTCGTCACCTAAAGGTAAAACAACAGCAAAATGTTAGAATAGACGAACACAACAACCCTACAGTAATCACTGATCAGTGATCACTACTACCAACCACAAGACCCATCAAAATTAATAAAATACAAAGAACCCTACCGTAGAAGGATCACTGTCAGAGAAGGATTCAAGGCATATACTGTCAGAATCATCACAAGCCTCCTGAATTCCACCTTCCACAAAAGCAGCAGCAGAAGTCAAATGCGCCTCAGACTTTGTTTCATTCTCTTCCAACAACACAGGAACCTAAAACGGAAAATTAACCAATCAAACTCCACGCCGACCTCGGAAAATCAAACAACTCTTAATTTCAGAAAAGTCAAAATCGAATAACAACAAATCACGATTCATCAGAAGAAAACACACAAAATAATCTGAGATAAAATTAATCGAATCAAAGTAAGAATTAATCGGTGTTACCTCATCCATGGAGAATATCGAAAAATTGAGATGCGAATACAGAAAACCCTAGCGAGTGCGAAAGAGGGAAAAGGGGCTTTTGTTTGGTGCGGTGATGGAGTGTGTGGGTGTTGTAGTTGTAGTTAATGTTAATCTTTTTCTTTTCTTTTTTTCTTTTTCTTTACCTTTGTTTTAGTTTTATTGTACTATTAATTAATAACAATAGAATAACTACAACTTATATTTTGTATTTTTCTAATTTTTACAACAATAAATAAATATTAAATAAATAACTTTTTTTAAAAATAAATAAAAAAAACTCAATTAATATTATAAAACTATCTTAATAAAAATTAAAATTTAATATAAAATTAAAAAATGTCTCAACAATATATTCTTGATGTATAATTTTATTTATAAAACAAAAAATAAATTAAACAGTTCGCAGCAAAAGTCGCAGAAATATTTACAGCAAACTTCGCAGCAATTCCTGCGATATTTCCGGAGAATCTTGTGGTTTCTAAGTCCTGCGAAAAGTATCGCATCTAAATCCGCAGGAAAATGTATATTTTACTTTCAAGTCTAAAATCGCAGCTAAAGTCTCAGGATTTCCTGCGAAATTTGCTGCTACTTTAATATTCGCAGGAAATAATATTTCACAATATAAAGGCGCAGGTGAAATCGCAGGTACAGCTGCGGAAATCTTTCCACAAGTAATCTGTGTATTTCTAGTAGTAAATCTATAAGAATATATAAAGCCAATATTATCCTTCAAGGTTATTCTATAACCTATAACAATATATAAAGTCAAAACATTGTTTTTGTGTTGCTTATTTCACTTTTCAAAATTATCCTTCAAGGTTATTCTATAGTACACGACACATTCATTTTTGTATTATAAAACTTTTAAATATTACATTTAATTTTACAGATAAAATAATATAATGAAAAATATCCGTAGTCAAGATTTAAGAGAAGTCAAAGAGAAAGACGAGCACAAAATGCAAGAGATCAAAGACAACGGATGAGTGTTGAGCAAAGACAACAAGAATTAGCTAGAAGGCATTCGAATTACAGACAAAATAAAGACAAAGGAAAA